TATTATTTTCTTATTTTTGTCTCCATAAATTCAGAATTTTATTCCATTTTATGCCTATCCAAAGAAGTTCTAAAGAAATGAAAAATAATTCTATTAACAATGTCTCTCATGGAAAAGTATTCAGTTGAAACAAAAGATTATTTAAAAAAAATAATTTCATAATTTAAGAAAAGAATTTGAAAAAATAGTTATTATTATATTAAAAATTGAAATGGGGCAAAAATAATGAAATACTATTAATTGCAAGAAAGCTTCTGACAAGGGAAAAGATAACTACAACATTGAAACCCTGTAGAATTTTTTTTCTCCAACCAATTTTAAAAATAATATTACTTGTTTAACAGTAACTACAATTAACAGATAGTTTTTTTTTCAATAATGTCTTCAATTTAGAGATGGGATATAAGAATTGGAATCAAGCAATTCAAATTGTTGTCTATCTTTTTTTATATCACAAATGACCTGCAGTTAATTAATAATTTTTGAAGAGATTATTATTTAATTAATTGCATCTAAATACATACATTTATCAAATAAATTTATTTATACTCTGTATCTGAATTCAGATGAATGTGGGAGAATGGTAGAAAGTAACTCCCAAGCCATGGTAAGTGATTCATTTCTGAGTGGTTCATGAAGGTGTTTTTTTCTCAAAGTTAGTTAAGTCAAATTCGTAATGACAATAGCTATATTGATAATTATTATCTTCTGAAGTGCTTATTGAATTATTGTGCTTTGATGTGAAAGTGTTACTTTTGCATCAATTGACACTCACTGATAAAACCAACTGTGTCTTCTCTTTTAGTGTAAAAAGAGACTCTGCTGATCATTCCAAGAAAATTAGATTCCATTTACCTGTAGATTTCAATTTTGTTCTTTTGGTACATTCCCAAGAAAAGTGGGGGAGCTGACAGCCATTCACCTCTCCCCAAAACATAAGACAGATCAAAAGTAGATATTTTTCTCACAAATCTCTAAGAAAATGTAATAAGCAAATGACTACCAGTTGATTCTTCAAAAAACATTCTTAAATTTAGGGCTCTGTTATAAGCACCTAAACTTTGCCAGTTTGTGTTTGTTAAAAACAAAACATTTTCCATGAAACTTTTACATGTATTCATTTGTAAGCATTATGACATATATGTATAAGAAGATTAAACACTTGAGAAGAATCAATCCAGAATACTTCAAGGTTCTTTGTCACTGGAGTACTGAGATAGAAGCCACTGAAATTACTGAAGCAGAATTTGACAAGCATTGTTTGGCTAATTGAAAAGAACAGAAGAATTCATCAGAGATCCAAGAATTCTGGTCAGACTTCTAAAAGCTGTCTGAAAAATAGCGTTAAAATTGAAATATTCTCAGTAACATATTGTGGCATTAGAACAACTCTTGTCTTTCATATTTGATTGTTCATTCACTGTTACTATTGTGTCTCAGCTGCTTATAAGCCCTGCGCAGAGGCTGATTCTCTTGAGTGGTCTCCAAGACGATTAGCTGAAAAGTAAGCCACCAAACAAACAGCTTAAATATTATCTATATATATATATATATATATATATATATATATATATATATATATATATATATATCTTCAGATACATCTACAGCTTGGAAAATGAATAGATCAATTAAGTAATATATGCATTAGACACATATCAGATAAAATCATGCATTCAATTTTGGCTGATCAGGTCACTTCCAGTTAAATGAAGAATGGTCACTCATTCACTATATGACTATTAATTATATAGGTTTCAATGACAGGCACTGATGAGTCAGAAATCAACAATTTTGCCATTATTCTTATTGGTCCTCATTACAAATCCATGTAATCCATTTATACATATTTTGACTCATAACCTCATGTTTAGAAAATCAGAGTGATGCAACCTATTTTGTTCTGAATGCTGTCCTTTTTAAGATTAAGCTACATGGCTTGCTTATTCAATGTAAGTTTTATTTTTTATTTTAACTTTTAAAACTTAGAAACTTAATCAATTTAAATTTAATAATCTCTCCATGAAGTATTACTCAAAAGAAATAGAAACCATGAAAATGAATAAGTACAATTATATTTGAATTTCTTAAAAATAGGTTTTTAGAAAAGTTAAGCTACATTTGTACCATTGAGCAATTATGAGAATTTGAGTCAAATGGCATACCAAAATGCATAATTATTGACTAAAACTTGGTAAAATATTCAAGATGATTTCTTTTATATTTTAAAGGTTGTAAAAAAAAAAAAAAGAGTTCTTGTAGAAAAATGACCACTTTACTTTATTACAAACATATGATATACTATAATAAAGTTATGGTATTTTCCAATAAGAGAAATTAGTATTATAAGAATAAACAAAAACTTGTACTGTCTTTCTTGGGATGTGTACATTGCACAACAATCACTGGCACAGATGGTGGAACCAGGAACTGGAGTCTAATTTCCAGGCAGTCCTGTTATGTTCACTATTACATAAATACTCTTGGGAAAGGTCTCTATCTCTTCTCCTCCTTACTATAGGTTAAATAGCTGAGTAGACTGATCTCTTTAGCCATAGTTGGCAATGTGTCCAAAAGAAAGAAAATTTTGAATTCTAAAACCATGGAGAGGGCAAAAGAAAACCAATCCTCTATCCTTCCCAAGAAGTTATGTTCACAGAGAATAAAAAAAAGAGAAATATGTAGAGAGCTATGATTGCCTATATCACAAAGGAAAATAGCGTGTTTTTGTTTTTTAAAATCTCTTTGTCTCCTAATAATTAAGAATCTTCTCTAATTCATAGCTAACTTTGACAAATTATATATATCACCTTCAAAAACACTGTGAGTGAGCATCTCATATTTATAGATTAGCTGAATTTTTAAGCAAAATTTTCACTGTCTAATATTGAATCTTGACAAGCATTGTTTGAATAATATGCACTGTTGAATTAAATACATTGATAAGGAAGGAAATTGAAAAATAAATATTTGTCATAAAATAAATGTTTTTTTTCAAAGATTGTGGATTTCTTAATGTACCTACATATATGAATATATGTATGTGAGTGGAAGACATGAAAAACAATTATAGAAAATGCAGTTATAGCCAATGAACTCTTTGATGATAAAAATGTATGACATGAGATCAAAATGTTAAGCGAACAAAAGAACAGATCTTCACAGAATATAATTGTGAATGCAATATGAAATATTGTAAGTACAAAAGGAGACCATGCTTGCAGCTAAATGATCCATATATGAGGATGTACTGAAACGTTACAGGCCTGAAATACTTCCCCAAATATCAGATTATTTTTTTTTAGGAAGGACTTGATCAGGCCAACGATTTTCAGCATCCTGATTTTTGCTAAACAAAACAGAATACTGCAAGAATGATGAAATTAGGCTATTCCTCAATTCATGAGGAATTTTATTTTGCAGTATTTTTGTTGTTTTACTGACATGAATTTGATAAATATTTACTTAGATAACAAAGACTTTTTTAAGAAACAGAGTAGATGATCCATATTTTTATAATCAATGTTGCAGGTGAGTAAATAGAAAAAGTATATCAGTTTGAGTTTGTTTATATTTATTATACAAGATATCATCATAACCTGATGACTTATTCAAGCTCATCATCTTGTTGGTGAGAAACTCTCTAGCTTCCATTACATATTTTGCAAGGCTAATTTTTGAAAATCTTTTGCAGAATTGTTTTAAGTCTCTTCTAGTAGATACCTTGTTTCTTTGTGCTTTTTAGAGGGATAAATTTATATATCTGTTCTCTCCATAATTTGTTTTTTTGGTATCAGCCCTGAAGTTGAAAAGATGTTAGGGCATGAAAGCAATTTATTATACAAGAAGATTAGAGATTAGAAAATATGGTAAACCTTCTCTGTACCCACTCAAAATCCACATACTGAAAAGTAAATGAAAAGCTTAAGGAGAAAAGTGACAATATCAGAAACCAGCCAGAACTGACAATGGTAATCAATGATCTTACCTCTCATAAAGAAAATGAAAAACAAGTAGCTGCTGAAAAGTTCTTAGCCAAATGCACTTAAATAACCAAACATTGATTTTTTTTTTTAAATTGCTTCTTGGTTGGACCATGAACTTTTCAGTATCCCATCATATTTAAAATGATTCATAGAGAAGTTCTATATAAGAGTCAGTCAAAGAAACTGCAATGGTTTTTGTTTTTGTAAGAAAGAGAAAGCCATTGAATTAAATATTTTAGACTGACTGCAGTTATATAAAAATATCCACATTAATTTATTTAGCAAACCACTAAGACCTACCAATGATCATTATTTTCAAGTATATTAGCCTGAGAGTAGTTTACTTTTAATTGCTGCTTCAGATTTTTTTGTTTATTTGTTTTACCAAAGTGAATTTTATAGATGTCATGACAAAAATAAATATAAACACAAATTAAAGCCATAATAATTTGATAAGCAAATAAAAAATTCAGATTTTGAATTCAATTTATAAAATGACAGTGCTGATGCTAAAATTAGTTCCAATGATGATGAAATTAATACTGTGACTAATAGAGGAGCTAATGTATATAGTATAGCTTTTGTTTTATTGCTTACCTCACTGTAAAATGATTTAGATATTAAAATAAAATTTGTTATTTTGCTTGAATAAATTTACCCCATTTCCACCAAAATTAGTTTAATATGATATTTCTCACACATTGTTTGAATATAATCATTCTAAAATAAATCACAGATTGCCTTAAATTTTATTAATTTACCTTAATAGGAGGCAGAAGGAAGGTTGGAGAATCAAAGATAAATTTGCTTTGAAAATATTTACTTAATAAAACCAGCCAGAATAAGAAGCAAAGTCAAGAAAAGGTGAAAAAATAAATTAATAAAGGGGTGGGTGAAATTACCACTGACTGATAACTCAAAGAGAAATTATTAGTGAATAAAAGGAAAAGAAAAAAAAAAGAGCAACAAATTAGACAACAAATCTATGGTGTATAGATGAATATAATACCTTACCAGTTAATGTCGACATAGGACTGGTGTCCGAGATGCCCTTGTCCGGAGTGGTTTCACTGCTGGTCAGGGACGAGATACTAGTAAATGCTTCTTCTTTATTTCCTTCCTTACTACCAGTTGACATTTGTTCACTACTGGAAAGTTCCTCAAGCAACAGTCCTAGTCGAGTCATCAGGTCGTTTTGGGCTACATCTGGGGGTGGTGGAGGTGGGCTGCCTCCCGGAGGAATAGCAGGGATACCTGTTTTTAAAGAAAAACAAAAAAAATTCTTTTCAAAAATTTATTCAGAGATTTTGTTTGTCTTGGACCATATGCAACAGAAACAATTTTATGGGATAATTTATCATTTTTAGTTGAATGCTAATTTTCTAAGTACTGTCTAATGAAAAGGGTAAATGAAAAATAACAGAATTTGTCAAAAAGGATTAAAAACAAAAGTTTATAAATGTTCATCTGTTTTGACCATAGAAAATCCTTTCCAAGAATGCAGTTTCTCTGCATGAATTTTTAAAACTCCAGCTTTTGTTTATTTTTTTAAATGAGACTAAAAACATCTATTGATCATTTATTGAAATCCATGGCGAATAGTTTCCTTAGCAAAAATAACTTTGAATGTGAATGATTTAACTCTAAAAAAAAGAATCTTTAAAATATAAAGACTGAAACAAATTCTCTATTATTGCTGAGGTACTCAGACTGAATGAACATAAGAATGTCTTTCAATCATCTTCACAATTTTCAAACAGAGTAGGAATTGAAAGAAAAAAAAGACACTTGAATTTTCTTCTGTAAAAATAATTCTAAATTCTAAGAGGAAGAAAAAGATAGATAATCACTGATGCTTTTTAATTACAAAGTTTAATATAATGTCATTTGTTCTTTTTTCTCTTGGTATTTTAGAAAAGAAAATTTTCAAAAATCTATTAGTGAATTAATTAAATCAATCATTTAATTATAAAAAGCACTTTTCAAATTAGCTGACAGGTGTTTAATAGCTATTTGAGGGATTTTTTTTTGTTCAATAATTCCAGCCAAAAGGCAATCAAAGTGTATAATTAACAAGCCAAATAATTAACAGAGGCAAATGATTATTGGGTTCTTTGTAGAATGGCTATCAAGATACAAGAATTGAAAAGGATAAGGTCAACTAATTTGGAAGACAGTGGACAAATCCCAGAGAAAAACATCTTTAGAAATTTTAACAAAAAACTAATGCCATCAAATTTTATTTTTGTCTGGTCTTTTTTTTTTTTAATTCTATTTCAAGATTGTTTTCTTGCTTTCAATTTGGGAAGGAAGAAAGTCAAAAGGAGTTTTCTAAAGTGTTGTTGTAAACTTTTAAAAATTAACCACTTCTGCATAAACTAATCATTCGCTTGTCTGAGACAGATAACTGGCTCATTATGTGTAAATGTTTTTTTTCAAATGCACATTCATATGGACAAACAATTCCAAGCATGGTAAACAAATTTGTCTGATATATATGTCGATATGTTCTTTTCAGAAATACATTTACATGTACAGGGCTATTTATAAGCATGCCTCAGATTAGAAAAATATGTCTATGTTTTGGTTTGGGATGATAAAAACTTGGATTGAAAACAAAAATAGACGTTCATGATTTACTGAATGAGTCTCAAGACAAAAACTTGAATTCAATTCAGACATAAAATGCAAAATATAAAACAAAGAGACTTATTTGCATTCACTAACAATAATTTCTTTTTATTTATTGATGAAATTATTTCATTTGCATGAACATGAATGAAACACTTGTTTTTCCACTTTCTAACATCCACTTCTGTTATCAAAATATGAAATAAAATAACCAAAAAGTATTTCATAGATAAAACAAAAAATATTGTGAGACTCTTTGCTATTCTTACCCACTAACTTTCTTTTTTGACAATCATTACAGGTTTTCCCTGTAGCTTATAGAAACCTTTTATATCAGTCCTCCTTATTTTCTTTCTCTTTATTCAATCTCATAATTTCTATAATGACTATAAATAAAGTACTTATTCAAAGCAACTTAATGGGAAGGAAATAAAAAATTTTCATCAGTTTTTAGGATATTCACAAAAAGCCAATATTCATTAAGAAAAAGTTTCCATTTCTTTTGTTTATTGATTTCTCTAATTCTCTTTTTAATTCTATTAGTTTAACTGTTAGATTTTCCAATGTGGAAAGCACAAAATCGTCTTTGGCTAAATACTGGTCATGGCAAGTATCTTCTGATGTTGTTCAAAGTTTAGTCATGGGTCTTATAAATTATTATTAAATCACAAACCTTTTCAAAACAATAGAACTATCAATAAGCTGTTAAGTGGTAAGATAACCTTTGATGATTGTTCAATATGCTCAATATATGAATAATGAAAATATTATATACACTGCAGATAAACTAGGAGATATGAATAGTATACAAGTAAATAGATATCAATAATTGTAAATAAACACTTTTCAATACTTTATAAAAAACAACTTACTTTTTCTTATCATTTTTTCCAGTCAAAAACAGAGAGTAACAATTCAAATAATAATTCTACTGCCTACAATACTAGCCCCAAACATTACCTCTACAGAGCTCTCTTCTAAGTCATTTTAGCTGACTATGCCCATGAAGGACCCAAGTTCCAGACCAAGCCATCAGGCCCATTCAATGTAGCTCTAAATTCCTTTCTAAAAATTATGATTGAGAAATCAGTTTTCATATATTTTTTTTTACTCAATTTACACATTTCTCTTTGTGATGTTTTCTTAAATATGGTAGTTTAACTGTTTCATGGCTTTAGTCATTGTGCTAAATATTTTCATCTATTCTACCTGTTTACATTTGCAACACCTGCTTCTTCAAATATTTTCTGGCTGGTCAAGCCATTTTTTATTGCTTATTATTAATTTTAATTTTTCTCAAATCTCTTTTCAGGACATTCTTTAGGCCAATTTCTTGTTCTTATTTTGGCAATGTTTTCAATTTCTGTTTTGATTGTTCTCTGATCAGTTTTAATTATTTTTACACTTCCCAACATTGCATTCCCATCACTCAATAACTTTTCAATATCTTGTTTCTCTTTCTTAAAACCCATGACAACCTTTATATATCTGAAATTAAAAAGTGAATATAACTATATGATATTATATGATAGATATTTATTTATAATATGATGAACAATAAAATCTCCAATTATCAAATAAGTCATTGAAAATATTTCTAATTTCTGTTTATCATTGAAGCACATCCTGAAAATTTTTTTTATCAAAATCAGTTATTTTACCAATATCATGTTTATTGTAAAAACATGAACTTGCATAATAAAATCTGATTTAAACTAGGTGTCTGTTAAAAAAAAATCTATTCCTTTTCAAAACAAAAAAATAATAAAACCTAAGACATGGACTGCCACAACCATTTATCAAATGTAAACGTGTACATAACTTGTAATGAAAACTTTAAACCTAAGACATGGACTATGACAATCATTTATGAAATGTAATTTACAAAGAAAAATTTTCCAGGTGATAGAGAAAAGGTGTCCCTTAGAATAGAAAGAAAGTATGATGCTTTAACTCATATATTACAATTAAACCATGTTATTAATGTAGGTGTCTACTTTATATTGAAATTGCACAATACTTGATGATTACTAGCAAAAAGGCAACCATTAAATCTGCAGTCTTATTTAAACTATCAAAATGATTGGTTCATTAAACAAAGCAAAAAAAAAATAAATAAATAAATCAGGTTTTCCTCTGATCTGTTATTTTCATGTTGTATTTTATTAATGAAAGAAAATATTATTTTGTCACAAAAATTATTATAACTACAGACCTTTATCAATTTAAAAGACTGTTCAAATTTGAATAAGGTACAGAAACTGATTAACTTAGAATACCAGGTTAGTATTATATTTTAGAACAAAGAACAATCATCTATACAGAAAAAGTTATTTTAGTTAAATAGATATTATTAAATTAAGTTATTAAATTTACTGTGTCTATATATTTGTATATTTGAAAAAAAATTCTATCAGAATCAAAAATGAAAAAATTAAGGGGAAGGGGATTTGGTATTATATATAAATATAAGATTTCGACAATTAGGCACACTTGGATTAACAAACTACATCCAGTGTTTTTTATCATGTACAACTTATAAATTGTCAACTTTTGCAAGAAAAATTTGAAATGTTAATTAACTTCTTATGACTGGTCATCCTTTTGTATATAGCAGGTGATTACATGTCTTGTGACAGAAACCCTCATCCATAATCTTGTTTAAGTAGTTGAAGATATTCAAACCTAGCCAAAATTGTATTGGCTTCTAAAATGTGTCTTTAATAAAAGAAAGACTGTTGGAAAGTTACACTGTTAAAATGAGAAAGGGATAAAATATTGGATTGTTTTTTAAAATAAAAGACAAGTTTTGCTATAGTATAGGAACAGACTGAAAAGGATAAAATATATATTCGAGTTTTTTGTGACAGAAATAGAGAACCCCAATACAGACAGTTAGAATATCTTGTTTGGTTCTGACCCCAAAAAATATTTCAGAGAAGACTAGACAATGTTAGAGAAATACAAGCCTATTTTACATTTCAGTGCATGAACATTTGAGTGTAAACTCTTATTCATATTCTCATATAATATGAAATATTTACTTAATATGAACACTTCCAAAAATGCCTGTGGCATTTCAATATTAGCAGCAGACACCAGGGAATGTTTTGACCTTCTCTTTCAAGTACAGTGAAGATGTGATATTTAGAAATCAAGTCCCTGGTGCCAAGATCAATCACTTTGCATCTTTCACCTGAGAATCAAAGTCTCTAAAGACTTCATAGGAAGAAAGTGTTCAAATAATAGATTAATTGTCAAATAATATTTTCAGGTATTATATTTTTCCAATATGTATACAATGATGTATATACATATACTATGTTGACCAATTACTATAGCTTTATTAATACCTACAAAATTCCTAAAAAATTAATGTTCCTTTCATCTTGACTATTCAGAAAATATGCAGTAAATCATAGAAGAATGATGATGTTATTTACTAGGTTTTATTTACACAGGTTGTTTCCCTTAAATTTATCAAGTTCAGTACATCTGTAATATCAGATTCATTCTCTTGAATTTCATAAGCTTTGTATTGTCTCTTTCCAAATATTATAACTTATACATATTTTTTTTAAAATGGACCATTTGGTTACTTCAGTTAGCAGGTTGATATTTAA